TAAATTATTATTAACCAAACTATGTTGTTACAGTTGTTAAATATGGACATTCGTGCCCGCAGAAAAGAGGTATTTCAAAAGGACGGGCTTTTTCCATTGACACCGTTTTTATATTAATCACGTACACTCCCTCGGTAATGAAAGGAACGTCCAGAAAAATCTTTTTGTTTTCAAAATTTATAATTTCAGTTACTCATCGTTATGTTCATGTAAATTTTCTTGTTAAGCGAGATTCTTTTATGAATTTATCAATAAAAAACATATTTTCATATGTATTTATGAATTGATAAATGATAAACATTCCATTGTATTAATTAATTATCGTTTTAATAATGTTGCAAATACAAAATTATTTTGTAAATAAACAATCTAATAAATAAATAGTGTTAACTATTTTTGTTGTAAATTTTCAAAGAACAAAGAAAATGTATAAATACAATTTCATGTTTGGATCTTATTACAATTCTCATCATTGTTTTTAAATAAAATAAGCATTTCCGAAAGAAGGTAGGTAAAATTGGCAATTAGTCAATTTTTTAAATCTTATTGCATTATAGATTGTGAAAATATTTTGATAACTTTGTAATTTTTTTTTTTTAATTTTGAATAAAACGATTTCTTTTTACGTCCACTTCTTTATAAAATAATAAATAATAAATCTTCATAAAATGCATATATTTTTTATAATCGTGTAAATAATCATTGGCGATGCAGTGAACGCAGTTAAAATAATAGCGGTGTCAAGGGAAAGAACGTCCTTTTGTAACACTTCATTTTATGTTCATGAAGGTTTATGTTTGCCTTACAACTTTTTATTGGCTTTGTGTTTTGTGAATTTCAGTTTAAAATATTAAATCATATCAATGTCTCTTCAAGAAAAATGCCATTAACCAAGCACCATCCTTAAAATTTTCAGGATACACACATATTTCTATGAACAAGGTATCAGCTTATCATATCTCTCCTTCTTACTCATAGGTAGAATGACTCGTTTTGAAGGCATTCAAGTTTTTAACAAAGTTTCACATATATTTTTATCTATCAATAAGTCCAGAATATATAGAGAATAATATATTTTTAACGTAATATCTTATATATCTAAATAAATCAATCAATATCTATATATATATATATATATATATATATATATATATATATATATATATATATATAATTCTGTGACTTCTATTCGTCCGTCCCACACACCCTCTAAAATAGCTTTACAGTGATTGGCCGAAACCAAATTTTGGGATTAAGGGCAAACAGATAAAGGCTAAGTAAGTACAGTTGGTTTTATTATGTTACCTAGCTTAGTACAATAAATTTTTTTTGGTGGTGGGGGGAATTAAATAGTTTTATTATTTGACATACAAAATACGCCCACTATTTTAAAAACAATTTAATGATTAAAATAAAAAATGAAACTAAGTAAATACAAGATCTTCAAGATAGAATGTGGCATCTGAAGTCAAAAACATTATCTGTTGTCAATTGTGTCTTTGAGAATGGTATCAAAAGAAGAAAATAAATATGTGAATCAAATTCCTGGAGCCCCTAAAATATGAGAATTGTAAAAAAAATCATACCTAACGGAACTTCTCACATCTTGCATAGACTTCTCCCCAAGCAGTGACACATGCTGTTTTTATTTTTCTCTCTGTTTGCAATGTACGTCATCTGTTTGTATCTTCTAAGACAGAATAAAACTTGCCACCTGTTGATATCATTTGTTGCGATTTTGGGGAAACTTGTACTACACAAAGTAAAGACAAAACATAATAATAATAATCCTCAAAGATCTTTCTTCTCAGGGTTAAATTTCAACTCCGTCTTACAGTTATTTTAAAAGATTAGTGAAAATATTAAATATTCAAAATTACTGAAAATTCGTTTGTTTGTTAGTTTTCGTAGAGGCATATCAACTCCTCATGGGTAATTTAAGGCCGAAATATAATTTTCTTGGCAGCATTAGTCATTTCTTTTACAAAAATTTATAGCTGTTACTATTTTTGTTTATTTACAAAAATGTATTGCTTGTATTTTTTTAATTTTTTACAAAACTGTACTTTACTACGAAAACATTTACTACGAAAATGTATTGCTTGTATTTTTGCTATAAAAATTTATTTTTATATTCTCATAGCCTTTTGACTCCAGTTTGGAGTTTTAACTGTTTGCCTAACAGATGCTACCACCCCGGTTCAGGGTGGACCTGGGAACAACAGTAACTAAGAGGGGGTTCCATGCTCCTCAAAACCTCTCGATTCGACGCCTTGTTGTCGGATGTAGTTTATTGTCATACGCAGGACGACTGAAATTACGTGCACCTTCTGAAAATCGTTTAAGAAACTTAACGGTCGTAGAATATGAAAACGATCTAAACATTTGTATACCACACAAGAAAAGTAAGAAATCTAGTGAACATTAATAATGACATAGGCACCTTCATGAAAATCGATAGCATGACAAGAATGGCCTGAAAATTAATGAAAAAAATTTTCTTCGTGTTAAATATAGATTTCAGTATTGAGAAGAAACACTACAGTATTTTTTGAATATTTTTTGAAATTTTTTACTCATTCTTAGCATGAATTTTAGTTAAAAATCTTGTTTACGAAATAACGAAAAAAAACCCAGATATAAGCCATTTTTTTTAAATTTTGAAAAATAAGTTAAATTCTTCGTTTAAAATTTGTTTAAAAATTAATTATACGTAATTCAAAATTCATTCGAAGAAATTTAAAAAATTTGAAGTTTATTTAAAATATTTTGAAAGAAACTTTTACTTACTTTCTTCGTAGAAAAATGTTTTTTAAGATAAAAGAGAGTCGATTTCAACATCGCCGCAATTGACAAGTGCTGAGTGATGACGACTATAAATTATTGACAGCTGACGTGAGATTCGAGTTCTCATACGGAAGGACAGAATGGACATATTATTTTTTTAAGCGGACCTGCTTAAGTAGTACCTTGTAATAATTAAAGTAAAAAAAACTTTCGCCATTCCATTTTTTTTTTTTTTTTTTTAAGTACTGTACCATAAGTTTGTTGATACTATCTGGAGAAATTATAAATATTATAAAAAAAAAATTAAGTTACAAATGCTGCACTGCTGACGTTTTTTTTTTTTTTTTTTTTTATTGCACACACGATACTTCCGGCTTCCGTAGATTTCATTGGTAAAAATTATTGACACAAATTAATTTTTTTAATATACGTGCTCTCGTTAGTTTGTAATAAGCTTTGGAAATTATAATCTGTAAATATATATCTACTTAATAACAACATTCGTTAAGTTCTACAAACTTTTCCCTAATTTTAGAAGAATTAGAAACATAATGTAAAAATAAAAAAAATATTTCAGAAATAACAAATAATTGTTTTAAAAATTAATTTTTCATTGAAATATCTGTTTGCTTTCATACAATATTGTCCATGTTCATTGAAATAAATAAAAGCTCTTAAAAGCTTTTGAAATTAAATAATATTTTTGTTTTATTGAGTTTTGTATGTTACACTTCAAAGACGATTTTCAGGTGAGGGGTCCAACTAAAAAAAAACAAAAACATGATTTGGTTTCCTCAAAGCATTGTGCTTTTAACTAATATAATCATTAATCTCCTCGAAATTGAAATTATAGTTTTCGTACAATTAGTTAGAGGGGGTGAAATACATATGAAAAAATATTTCTGCCATGACTTTACTAAAAATAAAAGATATTTATAATAAGTTCCATCATTTGTGAATAGTTTCTGAAAGTTTCGCTAAAATTTGACAATTATTTTTATTTTTGCAAGATTTTCCAAATTAATGTGTGCATACAGGAAAAAACGCGCTAAAATTTTATATGTTATTTTATTGGTTCGGTTGATACAAAGAGAAACAAGGTTTTTTTAATCAAAATTTAAAATGTTCTAAAAAGAAGGAAAAATTTAAAAAAATAATTAAAAAATACTTTGATCTTTCCTCTCAATAATAACATAAGCATTTAGACGCTAAAATTTTGTTTTCATCAACTTTGGCGTCTTTTTCATCATGCTATGCTCTGTTTTTAGCGATCTCATGAAAGTACCTAAATGACACCTCTTCCTACAAGAAACACAAACAACTTGAGGCTATTACGCGTCTTACTAACAAGTGTAAACAAATTATATGGCATAGACAAAACAGAATGATAAAACTGCATCTAGATAGCTAGATTTGTAGTAGTTGTCAAGAAGGTAAATCGTCCTCCTTACCAAATGGAATTACAAAGATAAGGGAAACAGGTTCAAATCTTGCCAGTGTAACTGCTAAACATTACAGTAACAAACAAGAAAATAAATGTTACTTTTGCTTATCTTGTTACTTTTTTTAGAATCTTTTTTTAGAACATTTTGAATTCGATATACATAATTAATAATCATTTTGAAAAAGGAAACGGTTTTTCTAAGTAGAAAAATCGTTTAAAAATCGATCTCTTATTTTTAATAATTTTGGCAGACGCATTTCTAGGCTCAGCTGTTTCTTAATAAATCAGAATATTCTGAAAATAAGAATTGATTATTCTTCTAATGAAAGTATATGTTAATAGTGTAGGTTGGCTATATATATATATATATATATATATATATATATATATATATACGGAAAATATATATTGTCTGATTCTACATGTAATGTACATGATAGCAGGGTTAGATATGATAGAAAATAGTAATGGATAGCTATATAGATAGTGAAATACGTATGTTCATAGACTGATTATAGATAATGTTGAAACTTGAATAAAGCATGGAATAATAATAATACAACACAAAATGTACTTAAACAAAATGTATTGACACAAGAACGTGTACACAATATTTACAGATAGTTTTGGTATATTCTTGGGAAGACCATTCCTGTAGAATGGGTTGACTTAATCGCAGTCGGGCAGAGTCTCTGGATTGGATCTCTTCTTCCTCACCCGTCTTCCCGGTACCAACCATATTTATATGGTCGGTAGTCCACTATGTAAATTAGGTGAATCGTACCACAACAGATAGATAGATAGATAGATAGATAGATAGATAGATAGATAGATAGATAGATAGATAGATAGATATGAACAGGCGGAGATAGATAGACAGATAATTTAATAGACAGATATGAAAAAGCTATATATGAACATAGATAGATAGATAGATAGATAGATATGAACAGGCGGAGATAGATAGACAGATAATTTAATAGACAGATATGAAAAAGGTATATATGAACATAGATAGATAGATAGATCGATCAGTTTTTTCGTTGTCACTCTGCACCTGAAACTAAACATAGAATCAAAATAAGCGGGTTGATTTGGAAGCTTATTTTTCTGTGCCTCATGTGCTACGCTTATTGTGGTCAGTCTAATTGCAAATATCTAAGCCCCTGTTATTAAAATACCCACACTAAAACAAGGCCTCACCATTTTCTCGTCTATACTCTGTAACTAAAATTCATTAACAATCACAGCTGCCATTATTGCGAAACATATTCATTGAAGTGCGACTCAAACTACCCCCATCCTCAAATGAAATTCGCAAAATACAAGATGGCGCCGTGCATGTCATCATTGACGGCTGCACGATGAATGTTCTAGCCTTCGGTCTGTCACGCCATCTAACGGCTTGCCTGCTCATTAATCTTTCATTGGCTGTTTGCAACAGTTGTCTGTCAATATGGCAGGCATCAGCGTGGCGAGCCCTTGACTGTGATCAAAAAGCTAGCCTCAACTTGAAAAGGACCGACCGTCAGACGTAGCGATAAAATCAAATTGAGAAGCTGTCTTTAAGACGTGGTCCGTCATTCCCTGCCCCCCCACTCATAACGGCCAATCCTTTCGATCGAAAATCTGAACGATGTGTCGCCTGACGTCTTCGTGCGTATGTTATGCATTTAACTGTAGAAGATTAAACGTGAAGGTAAAAATATCATTGCAGCAATGTGCGTATGCATGTTTTATTCTGCATATCTGAATGCATGGAAGAGGTTGAGATTGTTTCTAAAAAGTGGCCAGTTACTGATCGTGTGCCTCATTTAATGTTTATACTATAAGACGGACCTGAGTCACGATAGATAGATAGATAGATAGATAGATAGATAGATAGATAGATAGATAGATAGATAGATATGAACAGACTGAGATAGATAGATAGATAGATAGATAGATAGATAGATAGATAGATAGATAGATAGATAGATAGATATGACTAGATTAAGATAGATATTAAGAAACTGTTTATTGGTAGAAAGAAAGAATCAGTAAAAAAAAAAAGAAAAAAGACAGTAAAAGAAAGAAAGAAAGGACACACAATCAAGAAATACACAAGTAAAGAAACAAAAAACTAACAAGCAAAGAAAGAAATAGAAAAGAAAGAAAGAAAAAAGAGGGAAAGAAAAAGAAACAAACGAAAAAATAAAAGAAAAACTACCAAGTAAAGAAAGAAAGAAAGAAAGAAAGAAAGAAAGAAAGAAAGAAAGAAAGAACGAACGAAATGAAGGCGAAATAAAGAAAGAAATAAAATAAAAAACAGACTGACAATCAAGGAAAGAATGAAACAAAGAAAAAACTAAAAAGCAAAGACAGTAAGGAAGAATGAAAGAATGAATGAAAATTTGAGAGGAAGTAGGAAAGAAAGAAAAAAACAGATTAACAAATAAAAAAAGAAAGAATAAAACAAACAAAACACTGACAAGCAAAGAAAGAAAGAAAGAAAATGAAAGAAAGAAATGAAGAGAAAAATAAAATACAAACAACGAACGAAAGAAAGAATTGAAGAACGAAAAGAAATGAGAAAGAAAGAAAGAAAGCTAGAAAGAAAGAAGAAAAGCTAGAAAGAAAGAAAGAACAAACGAAAAAAAGAAAGAAAGAAAGAAAAAAGAAAGAAAGAAAGAAGGCTAGAAAGAAAGAAAAAGCTAGAAAGAAAGAAAAAAGCTAGAAAGAACAAACGAAAAAAGAAAGAAAGAATGAAGAAAGAAAGGAGAAAAGCTAGAAAGAAAAAAAGAAAGAAAGAAAGAACAAACGAAAAAGGAAAGAAAAAGAAAGCTAGAAAGAAAGAAAGAAAAGCTAGAAATTCAAAGAAAGCTAGAAAGAAAGAAAGCTAGAAAGAAAGAAAGAAAAAGAAAGAAAGAAAGAAAGAAAGAAAGCTAGAAAGAAAGAAAGCTAGAAAGAAAGAAAATATAGGAAAGAAAGAAAGCTAGAAAGAAAGAAAGAAAGAAAGGAAGCTAGAAAAAAAAAGTCGCGAAAGAAAGAAAGAACGAAAGAAAGAAAGAAAGAAAAAAGAAAGAAAGCTAGAAAGAACGAAAGAAAGCTAGAAAGAAAGAAAGAAAGAAAGAAAGAAAGAAAGAAAGAAAGAAAAAAGCTAGAAAGAAAGAAAGCTAGAAAGAAAGAAAGAAAGAAAGAAAGAAAGAAAGAACGAATGGAAAGTAGAAATAAAGAAATACTGAATAAGGTAGATTATTAAACAGAAACACCAAAATGAAAAAAGAAAATCGCGAGAAAAGCTTTTGAAAAGTAAAAAAAAAAAAAACGGATTTTAGAAGAAAAGAAAAAAAAACCTAAACATCAAACGTTGATAAGACAAAGAACGGTTTTGTCGACAATTGTTATTGTTGTGAATTTAATCCTCGTTCTTTCACTTGTTTATCGAGGCGTGGGGAGGAGGGGGCTTAAAATATGCAGTCTGCATCCTCTGCAGAATTTAAGACATTTGTATCCACCAAAAGTAGCCATTTTCTGAGTGGATACTTGCAGACCCACGTATAAGCTATATTTAACTCTTTTGATCAAATATAAACAGAAACCCTATCTTCCTCTTTTTGATACAAGTGTATACCTATTTCTAACCTTTTTTTTATCCAGTATAAACCCGGAATTTATCTACTTTTTTGACTCTAGTGTAAAATCGAAACTCTGTTTACCTTTATTTTACTCCATTGTAATCCTAATCTAGGTCTACCTATTCGAATTTAGTATAGAGATTTTCGAAGAGTAGCATAGATATGGCTTAAGGCCGAAAGTATGGGGCACTCAGTTAGGCTCGAACTCACTACTCAGTTGTAATTGTTCTAGCAAGACAATATTGCTAACCACGTCGAGGTGCCTAATTCGAATATAGTATAAAACAGACTGTTGCATACCTTTTGGAATCTTATCGTGTATACCTAAAGTCTAGACACATAGGCAAAAAACTATATTTTCAAGAAATTAAATTTTGTTATTAATAATATAATATTAAATAATACTGAGCAATATTAATTTTATTATTATTAATAACAACGTTTTATTGAATTGGAATATTAACAAATAACATCTTCAATATGATTTTCCATCATTCGTGATGCAAAGGTTGATTTGCTTTGCAAAATTCACTTGAACACGATGCAATAACTCCATTGCACATTCACTCTTTATGCATTCAATCAAGTGTGTTGCATCTGTGATTTTCATTGAGTACACCTTCACCTTTAGCATACTCCAGAAAAAGAAGTCAATACTTTAGTCTTTCGAGAAAACCATGTTTAATCTGTGGAAGTAAAAAAATAGAGTTAATGAGATTTCTTATGTGTCCAGACTTAACAGACACCCTATAGAGTATGTCAGTTATCTGTCATGCGTGATACATGCTTAAGCGATCATGTATCTTTCGATATATGACTGACAAGACAGATTTTTCCCGCAGTAGGTTACCATTTCTTTCTGCGGTAGACCAGTTGCCATCCAAGGCTATAGAACCCAGTCTGTCCTGGTATTTACCCATAGCTGGAGTGGGGTGAAGAAGGATTCATACCTTTTCCAAGTGTGTTAACACGTAAGTAATTAAGTAAATGTAAATGATTTGACTGGAATTCGAACTGGGCTCTCCGATTTCTCAATCCGAGCGCTATCCATTACTCCACAGAAGAAGAAGAAGAAGAAGAAGAAGACCGAACATATATATATATATATATGTATAAATGTATTGTGATTTTTAACTCATAATACTTATTATATTCGATATTAAATAACCAAAAGACACCATTAAATGCCATTAAACAAACTATCCTGAACTAAGAATTGCAATTTTGGGTCATACTTTTTAACCATCGTTGATAACAAAAAATTTTGTCCTTCATTTAGTGCTCAGAATTCGTAACCTTGTACCAGACCAAACTAAGCATTGTAAATATTTCTACTTTTGATCCTCCTTATAAGTTATACACCTTTTGCCCTGGGCACCTGGAGGTGGTGTAATGGTTAACAAGCTTGTCTCGCAAGAACAATTACGACTGAGTAGTGACTTCGATTCTCACTGGGTGCCCCCTACTTTCGGCCTTGTGCCACATCTAAACTCTGCTTGGAAAATCACTACCTGGGCACCTCGAAGCGGTGTAATGGTTAGTAAGCTTGTCTCGCTAGAACAATTACGACGAAGTAGTGGATGCCCCATACTTTCGGACGTGTGCCACTTGTAAGCTACGTTTGGAAAATCAAGTCTTCGGCACCTCGGCGTGGTGTAATGGTTAGCAAGCTTGTCTCGCTAGATCAGTTACGACTGAAAAGTGAGTTCGATCCTCATTAGGAGCCCCATAATTTAGACTTTGTGCCACATCTAAGCTACGCTTAGAAACTAGCTATACACCTGTTGCCTTATCCCATGCTATGCTAAATTTAGTACGTATCACGAACGCAGGACACACGTAGCTGAGTCGTGGTCTCGCTGTTGGGGTTAATTGGGTTTAGTGGATGATCCATACTTGTGATCTTGTGATTGACAGAGTTAAGCTGAATAAATATCTTCATTGGCTACTTTTACTTGCACTTGTTAAAACATTCACCCATGCTCGGTTGAGCCGGTTCCGTCAAGTGAATCTGCGGCATCCCATACTAAAGCTGACGGTGGTTGGATGCAATTGAGTCAATAAGAGCTAGGCAGTCACGGTTCAAGCAGTCATTGCAGAGGTCCTATTCATTTGGACGTGCAAATTCATACTATGATTTTCTGTGGGAATTTGGATTCACAAGCGGGTCCCCAGCTACATGTACACAAATATTAGGATAGTTTGATCCGAGTAGCGATTCAGTTAAAGCGAAGAAACATTCGCTTTCCACCCGACCTGAATTCGGGGGTAACCAGGGTCGTGACGAGGACCCATGGGAAGAAGTTTGACCGGCGGAAACACGTGATCAGGTTGTACAACCTATTTTGGATCACCTCGTAGGCATGCAGGAGCTTTGACCCGACTATCCAAATCAGGAATACCGTCCCTTCGACCCCATTACCTACTTATGTTGAGTGATGGTTAACGAATAAACCAAAGTATCCACTCAAGAATCATGGAGTGACTTACTCTTGTGACTGTATAAAATACGGCTAAATTTCCTATGAAACCATTGCACTTACCTTTTTTTATGATCAATGCCCAGCTTCATATCCTCAGCTCACTGGCAGAGAATGGATATTTTTTACAGTTTTTCAATTTTACTTCCATTGACTGACAAATTTTCTTTATTTTGGATTAGGAACAGCAAATTGCATGGATATTCTGCTCTTACGGCGGCGTTAAGCTAAAACACTAGTTCCCCTACGATCACCGAACGTAAGCAACGTTGAGCCTGATCAGTACCTAGATGGGTGACCGCTTGGCAATACCGGGTGCTGTAAATATGGAGGTGCGGGTGATGCAATGAATTGTTAATCGGAGTTCCGAGTTCCAATTGCCGTTAGGTTCGGTATATTCACTTACGCGCAAATTATTTGTGAGAAAGTTACCCACTACTTCTCCCTCCAGCTATGGGTTAATTAGTAAGACTTATATCATTAAAACAATTATTATCTAAAAAAAAATAATGCGTACAAAATATTTAGATTTTGGAATTAAATGACCCGTAGAGGTGTTGATATGGTGCTACACAAAAACAACTAAACATAAATATTTTCACACAGATTTTAAGAACACGGGAGATTTCGATCCGTACTCATATATTTTTTTCTTTTGAGTCTTTTGAATTCATGTACATATGTTTGCAAATACGAATAATAAATTTAATGATAAATTTAATGATCAGTTTAATGATAAATTTAATGATCAGTTTGATGATAAATTTAATGATAAGTTTAATGATAAATTTAATGATAAGTTTAATGATAAGTTTAATGATAAATTTAATGATACGTTTAATAATACGTTTAATGATAAATTTAATGATAAATTTAATGATAAGTTTAATGATAAATTTAATGATAAATTTAACAGACATAAACATGTTTTGAATATTGTTTAGAATTCGAACGGATTTTTATATGAAAATACCTGAACGAAGAATTTCCTACAAACTCAAACCAAAAATAAAATGCGTTGATAAGAATCTTTGGAAATAGGCTTCAGGTTCTGGGCATTAGTTGCCCCATGAATAGGCCTGTAATATACTTCGTCATGATGAAGTTATAGGGAAATTTCGTTAGAAAAAATGTAGAAGAATGTTAATATGCTACAAATGTCCGACTAAATGGTAACGAATTCTGGGCAATTTTCGGACAGATGATGGAAGCGATACAAATGGCTTTACAGGCGAATGCTGACAATTCCATCGACTGAAAATGTGAGCAGTGAAGACGTTTTTAAAAAAGGGCGCCAAAAGAACACTTACACTTAAAGCCAGAGAGAGAGGAAGCTGAAATTTCTAGAACAAATTAGGAAGGAAGTTATCTTAAAAGAATTTAAACTGATATGATTGGTTGAGCGAAGGAGGAACATAAGTAGACAAAAAAACAACATACATAAAAAGTTTTCAGGAATGAGCAGTTTCAACAGATTGACCTTTATACTCCCGTTATATTTATTTATTTATTTATTTATTATTATTATTATTATTATTATTATTATTATTATTATTATTATTCCCTTGGATTTCTGATATATACTCATTTCTTTCCTGGTCCCGGACAGATAAAACCATTTGTAAGGTGTGGCCTGTACTTGTGAGAACATTTTTTTTATATTTCTTTAAAGCATAGGCTACCAAGAATCCCTTCAATAAGTCTATTGGAATCATTTCCAAACAATCCGAGGGATCCATCTACAACTGGAATTACTGATGTCCGCATGTGGCACAATTTTCAGATTTCAATTTCAAGGTCCTTTTTTTTTTCTTTTTTTTTTTTTTTTGAAGATCTTCAAAGATACATTACAGTCTGCAGGGACTGCCATGTCAGTAATAAGACACATTTTGTCATTTTTGCGGGTCTCTAATCACGATGTCTGGGTGATTGGCTTTGATTGTTCTGTCTCTATGTATTGTAGAATCTCATAAAATTGTAACAGATCCTATCTCCGTAACCTGGTCTAGGTCCTTTTCATACCAATTTCTTTCAGTTTCCTTTCCATAAAAGTTGCCGATTTTCCAGTGCAGACATTAGCCCACTCTGTTATGCCGGGTTCTATATTCAGTGAGTGCCAATACTTCGCAACTTGATAAAAGATAGTCAATTGTTTCTGGATATTTATTAAAATATCTACATTTTATTATTATTATCATCATCATCATTCGATTTCTGCTATGGACACACTACCTACCAAGTCTGCGGAAAGACCTAAGGCAGGTCGTGGTGTGTTGTTATAGCCACATTTCATGTTAATTTTTTTTTTTTTTTTTTTTTTATCTCCGATGAAGTTGCTAGCGTTACATAGACAAAGTTCTCCTTAGTGTGTGTGCTGTACTTAATAAGACAATTTTCTGTATGTCTCTTAAGCTGGGGTTTCCAGGGATTCTTTCAATGTGTTGTTTTGTTCCATTTTTATAATTCCAAGTGCACCTATTACCACTGGTATTATTCTTGTTTTCAATTTCCACATTTTTTCTATTTCAATTTCCAGGTCTTTGTATTTTGATAGTTTTCAAATTCCTTGGTTGCTATGTTACAATCCGCTGGACAAGCCATATCAATTAGTAGGCAAGTTTTTTCTTTCTGGTTTTTGACAATAATGTCCGGCCTATTTGCTTCAATTTTTCTGTCTGTTTGGATGGTATAATCCCATAGAATGGTGACATCTTCTATTTCTGTAACCGGCGCTGGCCGATGTTCATACCAGTGTTTGCTTACACATTTTCCAAAGTGTTTGCACATTGTCCAGTGTAAATATTGCCCCACTCTATCGTGACGATTTTTATATTCATTTGGGGCAAGTATAGAACATCCTGAGATTAGATGGTCTATTGTTTCTTGGTATTTGTCACAGAACCTGCATTTTGGATCCACATTATTATGTATGATATTTGCCTGAAAATTCCTAGTGAAAAGACTCTGGTCTTGCGCTGCAAGAATAAAGCCTTCAGTTTCAGACTTTATTATTATTATTATTATTATTATTATTATTATTATTATTATTATTATTTCCTTTGATTTGTGTTCTATACTCATTTCCTTCCGGGTCCCAACCAGAGACCTAAGTTCAGAAATGCCTTCATGACATTTTCCACTGATCGTTTTTGGAAAAGAAAAAAAACTAAGATAACACACATTTTGCATAGATAAATCCCCTTGTATATGTAAGCTGTACTTGTGAGCATAGTTTTTGTTTTTATTTAAGCATGGGCTGCCAGGAATTCTTTAACTGAGTCTATCGGAATTTTTTCCTATCAATCCGAGGGCTCCAACTACAACTGGAATTATTGATGTCCTCATTTGCCACATTTTCGGGATTCCCAATGCAAGGTGCTTGTATTTTGGTAGCTTTTGATGATCTTCAAAGATTAAAGTCTGCAACGACTGCCATGGGAATAAGAAAGCACATTTTGTTTTTGTAGTCTTTGACCACGATGTCTTCGTGATTAGCTTTGATTATTCTCTCTGTGTATATTATAATGTCCCATAAAATTGTTACAGGCCCTATCAACGTAACCGGGTATGGGTGATGTTCATACCAATTTCTTGGAGTTTTCTTTCTGTAAAAGTTTCCCACTGCAGATATTGGCCCACTCTATCATGCCGGATTTTATATTCAGTGGATGCCAATACCGTTCATCCTGGTTACTGTTATTATTATTATTATTATTTGATATGTCCCTGAAAGGGATATATTTGAACGAAGTAGCTAAGTGGTTTTGGCTACTATAACCAAGTAGAATACGGTAGCAGTAATCGACTGGTACGTATCGTAGTCGCAGGTAAGAAGTGTAGATCAATGACGTAAGTCCAATGGGCATCGTTATAGACTTAGCTTTCAGGCTAAGGCTCTCTCTCTCTCTCTCTTTCTCTCTCTCTCATAGCTACACGTCCGTCTGTATTTATGACGGACACCAGTCAATCATATTCCACTGAGGGAGAACACAGGTGTATGCATATTCCATTATATTATTATTATTATTATTATTATTATTAATTAATGGTCTTTTATTATTATTTCAACTATAATTCCGTCACTATTGCTGTTAATTTATTATACTTATTATTTTGATATTATTTTTATTACCCTATCTGTTTTTCTTGTTTATTATTATCCAGTGATTATTATTATTATTATTATTATTATTATTATTATTATTAACACTTAAAGAAGAGCGTCATTTACCTTTAAAAAAACAGTGTTTGTCAATGTTCATTGATATTTCAATATTTTAGTACATTAATATCATTATTTTTTATTATTAATACTATTAATATTATTATCATTATTGTTCTTATTACTATTATTATTATTATTGTAAATGTCATTTTTATTATCATTCTCTAGTTATTAGTTTTGTACAGTATTTTTATGTTTATTATTCATCATTTACTATTATTTTTAATACCTTCTATTTTATCTTATTTATTTTCATTTATTATTATTATTATTATTATTATTATTCTATTTCCTTTGGCTTCTTGTATATACTCTTTCCTTTCCGGGTCCCGACGAGAGACCTAAGGTCAGAAATGGAATCATGATATTTTCCACTGAGCAATTTAAAAAAAAATTTAAAAATATATTTTACATAGATAAAGCCCTTCACAAGGTGTGGGCTGTACTCGTGAGAAAAACTTTTTTGTATTTCTTTAAGGCATAGGCTACCAGTGATTCCTTCAATGAGTCTATTGGAATATTTTTCAAACCAATCCTAGCGCTTCAACTACAACTGGAATTGTTAACGTCCTCACGCACGACATTTTTGAGATTTCGATTTCAAGGTCCTTGTATTTTGATAGTTTTTTTTAAGATCTTCAAAGATACATTGGAGTCTGTAGGGACTGCCATGTCTCTAATTATTATTATTATTATTAATAATAACTACTACTACTACTACTGTACTGTAATTGTCTATCTTATCATGTTTGTTATTCTCCAATTATTATTAACATTTTATAACCTGTGAATTTTCATCACATTTCGGCTGGATTAGGTGACAGTAAATAGCCGTTTAAAATAGGGAAAAAATGATGGTGGATTAATCCAAACATGAACGGAAAAAAACGATTAAGATAATGACTAAGAGATAAAGCCGGTGTATCGACTGGAGAGCGAAATCCTAGGTAGAAACACGCTTGAAAATAAAATCCCAGACTGTAAAAAAGAAACGTTAAAATGAACGATGGAATAAGAGTGAGACAATCTAGACGTTTCAGCTAAAAATTGATTTCTCATAAAAAAAGATTTCAGCCTCAACCATGCACGCCAAAAATGT